GGAGGGAGGGAGGGAGGGAGGGAGATTGATGTAGAAAACCTGTTACCAGAAAGGAAAACGAATCATAAGACAATAAAACAATACATCTAAGCCAAAGCTTTGCACAGAGGCATGGCTTGGTAAATGTATTTTGTAACCCAGAATGTGAATGAACAGCTCACATCTCTTAAAAATTAATGAACATAAAATGTACCTGTATGACCCTCAAATTTGAAAATATAAGGGACACCATAGAAAGATATGGACAAGGGCTTCTACCTCCCTAGAGCCCCAAGGGCAAAGTCTCTGAGGATAAGGAGTCTTGTGAAATCTACCCACCAATAATGCAGAAGGAAGAGCACTAAAACGGACTCTAGAACAAGCCCATCTTCCTTTACTCTGAGTTAGACTGTGTGAATACCCTGCAGGGGAGAGCTTGCAGTGGTCTGACATTTGGTGGCAAATGCATATTATCATCAAAGAAAGGCTGAGTTCACACATCAGACTAATCTATGGATTGTTTAGCTATGGTTTCTTTAAAAAGCCAAAGCTGGCTGCTTCACACAACAGTAGAACTCAAACAACCACACTTTTGCTTAGCACAGTGCAGGTTCCCAGTCTCTGCACATGAGCAAGCTTGGTGGTGCATCGCTCACAGATTCCTTGAAGCTGTTTCTTTCTTTCCTTCCTTCCGTCCACAGTTTTACAAGGACGTGAAAGACTGGTGGCTCTTTGGATTCTACTTCTGCTTGCCTTTGGCCTGCACAGGGGTCTTCTATTCCCTCATGTCCTGCGAGATGTTGAGCAAGAGCAATGGCATGAGACTGGCCCTCAATGATCACATGAAGCGGGTGAGGTCCCCCAGATAAGACTGAGGAGATGACCTTCATCTTGGGCTAAACCCATGGTTTGGGGAAGTTTCCTACCTTATCAATTCTATTTCCTGCCACTTTTCCATAATTGTCCATTTCCATGATGGTGGAATGATGTGCGTTGGTTGAAGCTGTCCTTGGTCCTGCCCCTGGAAGTGCAACATAGCTAAGGAATTAATGCACCTCTTTCTTTGACAATTTGCTGATCTTCTATGTTCCAAAAAGTGCAGTAGGTATCTAGCCTATTATTCCAGCCAAGTCTGGAAAGTCAAATCATAATTAGGGTGGGCAGTAGAGGAAGGTGGATGGATTCAGTGTCTGGAGGTCACCAAAGTTAGTAGCCATTGATAGACATGAACTTCATGAATTTGTCCAGCTCCCTTTGGAGGCCATCTATATTAGCAGCCAACCACACATCTTGTGGCCATTACTCTACTGGTTGATTACATTTCTTCTGCATGAAGAAATATTTGCCTCTTCTTTGTGTTTAATTTTATATTCAAGATTGTGAGGGCAATCTTATTTACTTATTTTTTTTATTTAAAAGACGTATGTATTTATTTATTATATTTCAAATTTAGTCTCCACCCATCTCACTCTGGGCAGAACACAAATAGATAAAACATATCTAAAATAATAAAAGAGAAATAGATGGGAGACAGGAAAAGGCAGAGACTCATAAGGCCTGATCTAAACAATGGAGTGGACAGGATGGAATGACATACAAGAGAATTGCCCATATTTTTCTAATCTTCTCCTATTCATTCCAATGATCGCATGTGTGTTTTCCAGCGCCGGGAAGTGGCCAAGACAGTGTTCTGTCTGGTGGTAATCTTTGCCCTCTGCTGGCTTCCTCTCCATCTCAGCAGGATCCTCAAGAAAACCATCTATAACCCACAAGATGCTGATAGATGCGAGCTGCTTAGGTGAGATCAATATGCAGAAAAGCCGTATGGTGACGGTTGAGACTTTAAGTACCCCGGGGCAAAAAAAGCTGTTTCCACAATTAGTCTCTTCACTTTATTTATTTTTTTTAATATATTGATTGAATTATGTCTACCCCACCTAGCTGGGACCTTCAGGACTACATCCATGAGAAATCTCCATAAAACTGCAAACAAGACAGCCATTTCTTGGATAAATGCAATATAAAGCCTTGATGCGGGGCTGTAAAGGAGGGATAAACATCTAAGGACACATGGTACAAATCACTTCCAAGAGTTTAATGGATTTTCCCCAAGATATAAGGTCTTCAGGCTGATTTAACTATTGCTTTGATGATGGAAGCTTCTGGGCTGGGCTTTATGAGAACTGGCATCATCAGGACACAGGGCAGTCCCATGCAATGCAGGAGATTTAGTACCGATCACCATTTAGGTCATATGTCCAAGATCGTTTCACCAAGGTATTCTGCTCTATATCAGCAAGCCCCTTCTGCAAGATAAGCATAGGATTGATTTAATTTATCAGATTTGTATGCCACCTCACTCCCCATGACTCTGGGTGTTCACAACAACTACAACAAGAGAAATGCAATAATGACCAGTAAAAAATGGAAGATGGTGAGAATGACAAACCAGACAGGAATGAAGTAAAGGGGCTTCACTCTCCCTCAACAAAGCAAACAGCCAGGTCTTCAAGGCCCTTCTAAACAACAGAGGGTGGGGTCATCTGGATCTTTGGGGGAAACCTCATTCCAGAGGGCAGGCATTGCTACAGAGAAGGCACACTTCCAGGGTCCTAATAGATGGCATTGTTTAATTGAAGGGTCCCAGAGTGCACCAATCCTGCAAGATCAAATTGGCTGGGCAGATACTATGGGAGACAGGAGGTCCCTCAAGAATTCAGGCCCTATGCCATATAGGGTTTTATAGGTAACAACCAGCACCTTGAATTGTACCTGGAAGCAAGCTGGCAACCAGTGCAGCTTGTGAAGCAGAGGTGTTACATGGGCATACTGAGGCATGCCCATAATTGGCCATGCCACTGTATTCTGAACCAGTTGAAGCTTCCAGGTGGTCTTCAAGGGCAGCCCCATGGAGAATGCCTTGCAGTAGTCAAACCATGAGGTGACCAGGGCATGAGTGACTGTCTGGATGACTGTCTGGATGACTTGAACTGAAAGAATTGTCAAAGAACAGAAACAGGTTGTACCTTCCCTGATATTTTGACCTCAGCTCTCCTGATACAGAAAGCTAATCAGGTTACGTTCTAGTTAGTACTCCAATAGGATAAAGTATGGAAGGCTATAGACCAGGCTGGGAAGTTGAAAGAACATCCCAGAAGATGGGAAAGCAGTGGCAACCTCTTCCATAGCATTGGCAGGAAAACTGCTCGATATGCCTCTGGAGTCATCAAGAGTTGACCTTCTCTTTGAAGGAGGTGTTACCTTACTTCACCTTAACATTCTACATGATGGGTCTTTCCTTTCTTTTCCCATCCAGTTTCCTTCTGGTAATGGATTACTTTGGCATCAACATGGCCTCTCTCAATTCCTGCATCAACCCTGTGGCTCTCTATTTTGTCAGTCGGAAATTTAAGAACTGCTTTCAGGTAAGAGAGTTGACGAAAAGATGCCATGTGATGGGAAAGAGGGAGGACATGAAGTGAGGCAGCCCAATCAGGATCAGTAAAAATAGAGAGGAACAGTTTGTTATTATTACTTCTCCCTTCTATGATCACTTCTCCTTCTCTCAAGAAATCCCTGTCCTACTCTTGGAATGGATGCAGTTTGCTCCTCAGTTCTATGTCCGTAATCCTTTTTGCCTCCAACTCCACTTAGCAGAGGCTCAAATGAAAATTAGATGGTTTGTAAGCAGCAGCAAACCATCTATTATGGTGGGGAGAACACAGACCCTTCTCCTTTACCACCAGCAAGCAGAATTGGGCTAGCTGTGGTTACTGCCACCCTACCTGATTCACAAGATTGACAGAGAGTGTGAAGGCAGAGCTACAACTAGTGACTTCTTAGCCCATTCTGAGCCAGGAAGGATGAGACAAAGTTCATGACCATGTCTGTGACCTGTCAATCTCTACTTATCCTCCTCCAGTACTGGGTAAAGTCGGAGGAACCAGCAGTGCTCAGAAGCCTGCAGTCTCTCCACTCCTGCTCTAAATGACTTTGATCTCTGCTTTGTGTCTCCTAGTCCTGTCTTTGTTGCTGGTGCCAACGGCCAGCACTTAGCATCCTACCAACAGATGATAAGGGCTCCGTGGGGAAATGGAAAGCCAATGGGCAGGAACTCGACAGGAGCAGCTCTCATCTTAGTAACAAGTGCAGTTCATCTTAGATCCAGGAAGAAACAAGATGAAGACATTTCATTGGAATTCTGAGACAGACATCTTGGATGCTGGGACTTTGGTTTGGGGTATTCCTCTTGAATTCACCTTTCTTCCCTAGGGGCAGGAGGTCTCAATCATCTGACTTCAGACACAATCCTTTAAAAATCCTTGCTAAATGTTGTTTTCCTCTTCTATTTTTCCTCTTTTTGATCTTTTAATGATCACCTTCTCCTCTTCCTTACTTATTCCTCCTTATGGAATAAAAATTTGTTTAGGACCATAAGAATGGGCATGATCCAGACTCTTCTGCCTTGCATCACCAAGCAGAAGCAGCTAGGGGGTGATACTGGGCAGGAGAAAACAGAAAAGGGTAGGGGTTGACCCATACCTGAAAAATGGTGCTATTCCCAATGAGCATTGCTTGTCATAGTCACATCATCCAGGCTTCAGGATCATAAAATGTGATTTCCTATTAAGCTACGCTTTATACCTTTAAGTAGGTAGGAAGATGGAATCTCTTGGACTACCCATTTTCCTTTCCAAGAAAGTGCAGTGCAATTCATAGTTCATCTGCAACTGAGATTACATCAAAATGACAGTATGCACACAGTAACACCTTAATGCAAACTTGCGTCCCAAAGTCTGGCATAAATATGTAAGTGATCTTTTTTGTGCAATGTTGCAACATTTAATCACATCATCCATTCCCTTCCTTCCCAGTGAATGCCCACGATGTAGTTGGACAATGTCATAACGTATTCTTGTGATGAAGCTGAAGACCAATAAGACTTAGTTTGAAATTCCCAGTCAACCCTGGAGCTCACTGGGTGATTTTAGGCCAAGTACTTCTCTCTCTGCTTAGCCTACCTCACACGGTTCTTGTAGTGGGGATAAAACATGGGAAGACCCATAGCAGGTGCTTTAAGATCCTAGAGGAAAAGTGGGATATAAATGTGATGTAATACCAATAATGGCAGAGTAGAATGATCATTGGGTGTAGAGGTGTCTGGAGAATAGCCTTGAAGAAGGTATGCAACAGCTGTTACAAAAGCATCAGCTTAACCCAGAAAAACAGGAGTGAGTGAGAATGAAACTCAAGATTGCCTACCTTGACTCTCTATGCTATAAGAAGGGGGGGAGAGAGAAACTCTCTCTGGCTTTCCAGATTGATGACAGTCCAATCCAAGTAGGTCATGTCAGGAAATAGACTCTACAAGAAATACTGGAACTGTACTTCATTGTTATAGAGGTTAATAAACTTGAGATATCCTAGAAGAACGCATCACCCAAGAAGCTGAAGAGCTTGGGGCTAATCTCATATGATCCAACTGGATGCCCAACTCACTAATTGTTGGTGGAACCATGGTTGACTAGAATCCAAGTTAACAAAGCCATAAACTAACAACATAAATTATCCATCATAGTGAGCCACAACAGCTTTCCGACATGTTGCATGAACCTAGCAAGAACAAGGATGACAGCAAATCCAAACAAAAGCCCTGTTTGAGAAGGAGGTATGCCTTTAGGAGCATATGGCTTTCCCTATCAGCATTTTACCTGGGAAGAGTCCTTGACACAGATAGAGTAAGGATTAGGGCTTTATTAAGTCTCTAGGAGAGGGCATCCAGGCAGAATCTCAGTTGCTCCTGTGTGGTGGTTGGTGAAATTCTTTCAGTAGGTTTCCTTCTCAATTAGCATTCCATAAGATTGTTGACTTTATTTCGTAATGCATTATTTTGTAGGATCCTGTTTGTTAATGCTAAAATCCAAGCAGTCATTGGGGTCTCCTGGCCTCTACTACATATTATCAATGTATTATATGTCCTTTTTCCCATTCTTCATAAGGGCATTTCTGATCATAGACTTCCTTCCCTAGCTTGGAGCCTTCCAGATGTCCGATATTCCCAGCTAGCATGACCAAGGGCTTCAAAGTAGAGACTATTTTAGTCCTTGTTCAAACCACTTCTTAACCACAGGTGACTTTTGCTTAATGTTATGTGGTTAGGAAATGTAACTCCTATGTATATACGAGAGTAACTTGCAATCTTTGGGGAGGGAGCCACTGCTGTTCTGTCAATGGTGGAAAAATGAAATGTAGAACAAAGATCTCAGAAAGCTTAACTTTCTTTCTGAAAAGCAAGTTTCTTGTCACATGGCAGTCCATGTATGTTATGTCGGGTAATTCTGCCAAGATCTTGGAAGCCTGAGAGGCAGAATGTGCGTGTATTGAAATGAAATTACTGAACTAAGTTCGAGGGCTTTGGATGACTTGGACTGGTTACATCCTGTACCTTGACCATTGTTCCATTCTGGGTTTTCACTCATTGTTTCCACAATCCTATCTCAAGCCAGCCACATTGAAAAAATGGAGCCAGCAAGCACCATTAGGGTAGAGTGGTACACATGTTAAGAAAAATACACAACCCAAAACTCCCTTTTCTCCTATCAAGGCAGGGGAGCAAAAACTGATAATCTGCATGTGACTTTGGAAGACCTTTCAAAAGTTGCCACCAAATATTACTCTTTAGTGTCATGAATCCCGAAAGAAACACTGCACGTTTTACAGAATCCCTCCCTTTTACTACTCCAGAAGCATGTATATATGTATGCATGTATGCCCTGTCCCCTTAGTGCACACATTTTAGTATGTTTCCAACCTATGAGCTGAAATCACCCAAGATGTGCATTGTTCTACTGCACATCTATCTCTCTCCCTCACCCCCATCCCTTTTATACAGGCAGCTTTGCTCTCATTTCGTTCCTCATATTAGGACAGTGTTTCTCAACCTGGGCAACTTGAAGACGTGTGGACTTCAACTCCTAGGATTCCCCAGCCAGCATGGCTGGCTGGGGAATCC